TGGCGCGAATCGTACAGACCCACGAGGCGCGAAGAGGGAGGACACGCGCCGGGGGGGGAGGGGTTGTGCCCGAGTGCTCGAGCGATCGATTATGAACAGTGGACGGCCAAGGTCGAGAATCGTGAGGTTGTGTTCATGGCGTATAACGTGAGGCCATCAGATGGCGTTCTTCCATGATCGGGATCATACGTTGTAGTCGCTATTTTCATTATAGAGCATGGTCTCCAGCGAATTGTAGTAATGAGCGAGTCGCACTTGTGCATGGTGCCCTTTGTTGAGGTAGCAGAATTTGGGTTACGGTCGGTTCTCGAGGTATGGTGTGATGCGCCATTGGTTGACTATTCTGAGAACGACGTCTGATGTTACGGCACCGTGGTGCTGAATTAGGGATATCTGTCTCGATAGCATGTCCGCTGCCAAGTTGAGCTTGCCTGACACTGACCTCTGAGTCTGGTTTTTGTGAAATTACTAGACGAGTTTACTGAGCTGGTCGTTCATGAGCTGAGATTGGCTGAGTCTCGTGCAAAGGGTGTGAAGTGCCGTCGTAGAGCCCGTGAGTCACATGATGGGTGTCGACCCCTTATTGTGGTGTTGGTGAAAGAACTCGAATGCCAGTATCGGGGGGTGACCAGTGGTTGGTGAATATGCTGGGTTGTTGGTTCCAATTTGAGGTGGTGTCAAATCCCGTCTTGAAGACATCGTATCACCCCAGACTTCCATATCAAACACCGAACGCTTCAAACCCAGTAACCCATCCCGTAAAATCATATCTTCCGGTCGTCCAATGGGTCTTGTTCGATATTGAGACGTTCCTCCTTTGTGAGTAAAGCGGTTGTATCAGCAGGTCGCTGTCTATCTCGTCGGTCAATGTCCATCTCTTCAGACACAGGATACATATCCACAATAGCAACCGACTTTTTCTCACGCCTTGCACGAAAATTGGACTTCGCACTCTGACTATAAGTGTATATAGTACCGATCGACTCCAAACTCGTGCTAGCTTCGACTGACCTCACTCAAGTTTCTGCCATCACTCCTAGCGATCTTTCAATAGGGTCAACAGATGCCACTCCAAACAATGCCTCTACATACTTCAGGGACTCGATCAAATGCTGATTGGTTAAATTTATCGCGGTCACTGCACTAACAGAGGTGGTTTTATACCTGCTTCTTCTGCAGGCATATCCCAACGCACCGGATGTTCCACTCAGATGAGTCACTGACCCTATGGCAACACTTTGAGTCATATAGGACACCACGTCCTCGTCACGAAGGACTGCCCTTTTCCAAGCAGGCCGTATCGCCTTCAGTCCGAAAGTCCTTACGAAGATTATGACCCGTATAAGGACTCATACGACACACCAACGTAATAAACCCTGGTGCATCCATCGGCTCTTTCTCATGCTCGATGAAAATTCCCGGACGCGGGTAAATTACCATCCGATCTGCCGATTAAACCGGTATCATCTCAAACCATCGTACCTTATAAGCATAAGAGCAGCCCATTATAATCATCGCTAAATCCAGCAGAATTCTGGTCACCACCTTGCCCCGGTCCGACCACTTTGGATTGAAGTACCAAAGGTGGGCCGCCCATGTCCTTAACGCTCCCCAGCCAGCGTTGCCTGACTAAATGGCTTTATACGAAAATTTGTTCCAATCTTATCAAATACAGCCTTATTGACCGAATGAGACTCCGTCTCCGGTTTCACACCCAGCGGTTCACTCTGGCGTAGGTCGGATCAGTATGATAGGCAGGCCGAGATTATATGTCTGCCACTGGGTAAAGTTCTTCCGGTACATGTTTCAGCAAGATATCAAAGCCGCATAGCGCCTGTGCATACCTTACCATACGCCGACTCTGACCGTGGACGTAGCTTCCTGCATCAGCATCCTATCCAAAAGTTCGTAATCCGTAAACAAGACACGGATGGCCAGACCTCTTGATTGTCGTCCAAAACTTGTAGAGGCAGTGTATGATTGCAAGCATCTTCTTATACATGATGATCAGCTCCACTGAGCTGAACACGGACATTTGAAATCCCACAGGCTTCGCACTACAGCTAGCTCGCCGTCAAAGCCTATCTCTACCAAAATTCATCTCTTAGCGGCCTCTGCCCCTTCTTACGAAGATCAAATCGGGGCATGATCTGGGAGTAGCTCAGGATACACTGGCTCCAGTACTCAAACGTATGGTACCAAGAGGCTAAAAGGTCCGTATCCGTAGGTGACGGCATACGAATAATAAACTCCATACAATCCTTACTAATGTATGAGCCATTCTCGTACACCACGTGCCCCAGCGCAACTATCGGTCGGTCGAAGATACCAAAGCAACACTTCTTGAGGTTCAACTTCTCCTTATGTTTGACACACGCAGCTATGAGCGTCTTAATGCTATTCAAGCGCTCCCTAGCACTGCTATGGTTCACAACTCTATCGTTAATATATGTCTAGGCTCTGAAAAGCGCGCTTCTCGCCTGTATACTCCACGACACAATTTTGCGCCTGGGCATTCAAACGTCAACGTTTCAGCCACTTTCTGCTGGCAGAAATACTGCCCCAGGCCGGCCATAGTGTGATACTTCCTGCCTCGCACCGCTGATAAGAAATTTGCACAATCGGCACCGGGTACACCTCACACTCCAACGCAACCTTAAATTTCTTACAACTCATACAACAGCGCCAATCATGGGCTGACAAGGAAACCACATCTAGATTCTTGAAAACCATGTGCGTCATGGCACAATACCCTCTGGCCTAAACCTCTGCTATCATGCGTGTGACACCGACATCGCCCTAGCTTTCAACATTCGTGACTAACACCGACGTAAACTGACTACCATCCTTCAAACACTGGAAACTAAAACCCTAAAACCCTAAATCGCTCCATGTTCTCGCCTGCATACTCCACGACACAATTTTGCGCCTGGGCATTCAAACGTCAACATGTGCTGAGACGTTTCAGCCACTTTCTGCTGGCAGAAATACTGCCCCAGGCCGGCCATAGTGTGATACTTCCTGCCTCGCACCGCTGATAAGAAATTTGCACAATCGGCACCGGGTACACCTCACACTCCAACGCAACCTTAAATTTCTTACAACTCATACAACAGCACCAATCATGGGCTGACAAGGGAACCACATCTAGATTCTTGAAAACCATGTGCGTCATGGCACAATACCCTCTGGCCTAAACCTCTGCTATCATGCGTGTGACACCGACATAGCCCTAGCTTTCAACATTCGTGACTAACACCGACGTAAACTGACTACCACCCTTCAAACAAAATTTTACTTCATTTTCTGAAACTGATGTCAGCATACTTCATAAACATGAAAGTGGTCGCTTTGTATGCGACCTATTAACAACCGGCTCATCCAACTCTTTCTTCCTGCACACCATACTTCTTATGCAGCTTACGAAGATGCGACTGATCAAAGTATGAATACGCTCTCGGGTCTATAACATTCGCCTGATATATGGTGGTCGCCTCATATCAAACAGCCTTGGTACGACGTACTCGTCTGCATCGTCAAAATCTACTGCATTTACTGAGTAGCCTGCACAGACGCCACATAGTTGAGCCTCTCTTATTTCTTGATGTCCGTACAGTATTTAACCGTAAGTCCTGCGGAATCACCTCCGAGACCTTGCGTCGATTAGAATGCATACCCCTCAGTTATGCTCTCGCCCGAATTCTCCACGGGTAAGATAGTTTTTGTTGCTCATACTCCAGAGCTTCTGGCGTCAAAATAACGATTACATCCGTCTGTCGGATCATTGCCGGAAAGTCACGTCTTGTTAACATGAGAGCCCACATGGTCTGGGATCCTAACTGCACGTTGTAGAAATACTGCCTCCGGTCAGTCTAAAATATCAAGATCAAATGATATAACATATTGGTTTTTATTTGTATTTAAAATAATTGAATAGAAGTTCTTTTTCCAATATTTCCAAAGTGTTCTAAATTCACTTTGATGGCTCCAATAGCCTGAGTATTTGGTATGACTCATTTACTTATGGAACTTTATTTATATTAGCTATTGTATTAACGTGACTTACGTTCTTATGTCTATTTAAAAATTAGGCATGTGGTCATGAACACTTAGTACTTCTAGTGAAAATTGTTCAATAAAGAACAGCTAGAGGTACGTCCTGTGTGATCGAGGATATTAAGGCTCTTACCAAGAGACAGTCCTGATCATTCTTACACAAGCTACCACTGCTAAATCCCGACTGACTTAAATTGTATCTTAGTTTATTTAACATGGTTTAAAGCATAGAAAGTTCCATCGAAGTTTACATCGTCCGTATCAAACAGAGACAGGCCCATGAGCAAAAGTACCCTAGACGGGCGTACAAACCCCCTCTCGGCAACGTCCTTTTACAGCAGTCTTTACACCTTGCTGCTGAGCAAAGAAAACTTGTTGACCAGTTCCGGAGCCTGCATAGATCTCAATGTCTTCGTAGCCTACAGTGCCCTGAGTAACACTTCTAGCTTATGCAGTGAGTCACTTGGGCTTGTTAGGGCATTCGCTGTTGAAGTGACCATGCTGGTCACAGTTATGACAACGTATCAGCCTGTGATACACTACTATAGCTTCTCGGATTTCATTATTGTCCGAGAACTTCACGCCATGCTCCTCCGAGTCTTCACGTGTACGCTTATCTGCTTTCCCTATTAGCTGCCCATTGTTCCTACGTTCGCAGTAGGAATCTGATGCGGATTCATTTGCTTAATTAGCGCCCAAAAGTCCTCTTACTGTCTCTCCAGCCGAGTACGTAGATCATTTATGGTAGCAAGCGCGCCACCGGTCTCGTAGCGAATCCCTACTGGATTTGGAGGTAGCGCTGCTTCCTGCACTTCCGGTGGAGCCACTTCTATGTTTGCATTCCGAATACCTCGGTGAGCCCCTTCAACCGATAGACATGACAAACTATACCTCATAGTACCTTTTCCTTTACAAACAAACGGGCCATGGACAGGTTCATAATATCATGGATCGACATCATCGTCGCCGTAGCCGCCTTCCCAAACAGCGGCTCCATCTACATCAAGCCCAAGAAACAGGAAGCGTACTGGCTCTGAAAACATTCCAACCCAAGATTGGCGATAATACCTGCCCTAGTGGACAATCGTGCCGCCACATTCAGATGGCTCCTCATCTTATCAATGACTTCCTGAACAGGTTCAAATGCCACCTGTCTCTGACGTGTAGCCAAGCCCGTCATGACCAGGTGCCTTTTGAAAGCCTCCAACTTGACCATTACACGGACCGCCACCTGACGTTCATCCTGTCCATCCTCAGCTTCCGCTTCCAACCCGAACACATCGACAGTGTGCCGTAAAGCACCTCCTGCAGCGATACGATAAGACAGCCCACATCGCATAGGTTTGCAGATTCTGCAGCAAACCAACCACTAGCCATGCCCCATCTCCGTACTCCTCAGCCAAGCGATCAGCCGTCAACAGCATAGCTTCATGCGGCTCTTCAAGTAGCATTTGCAACGTAGGTTATGCCTTGCTAAGACCAAGGAACCGATTATCCTCACATCCGCTAATGCAACTCCCAGAACAGCTCTGATGCTGGCCTGGTCCGCCGTAGTGAATCCATGTCGCAAGTAATCTTCAGCCTGGTGCCTCTGCTTGACGTCCGTTGCAATTTTATACTGCCATGATTGTACGCTCGTCGTTCCCTGATCTTCTGACCATTATACTTCGTCCATGTGTGATGGTCGTCATCTTCCTCTCCTCGGAATATTTATATTTCTTCATTCGTCATCGTGTATGAAAAAATAGCGTCTAGCTATTGGTTAATAGCTACCTAGTTTACTTGTGAGTGAGTTATACGCTTAATTAGACTACTCGATAGTAGCCTCTATTCACTATGTCATTAAACTAGTGCTGTAGCGTGTAAAGTTCCCTTGCCACACTCCCACTAGTTATCTAAATTATGTCTCCAAGTGATCCATCTGATCACTTGGTTTCTCCCCAAGTGATC